TGCCCATCACCACAGCCCAGGTGCTGATGTCCCCTCTCAAGGGGACAGGTGTCCTTGGCTCCTTCTGGTACAGTACAGCCACATCTGGGGTGCTCAAAGCTGGTGCCCTCAGAGAAGGCAAATGTGACTCATGGCCAAGCCTGTGGCTCCCCAGGCAGTAGAGGAGAAGTGTGGTTATCAGTCTGCCCTGACCAGGAGATGGTGTAGGGGACTTACAGCCAGGCTTTCCAGCCCTGGGCCCAGAGAGGAACCTGCTTGGGAGAGTGCAGAGCACTGTACCCAGCCCCGGGAGCCTGAGGGCAGCAGGACGCCAAGACCAGTCAGGTACTGGTGTGGCACGAGGCAGGGTACAGCTTCCTGCTCCATGGGACAGGGCCCTGTGAGGGACAGGGCCCTGTGTGACAGTCCCGGCCCTGCAGTGCTGGGGACTGTGCTGGAATGAGTGGGGACACAGATCCTCCACAGCAGCCCCCTGCAGGGTGAGAGGCTGCAGCCCACATGTGCTGTGCCAGCCTGGGCCCAGCCACTCCCCCTCAGAGCAGCAGGACCCAGCACCATCCGAGCACAGGGAGGCACAAACAGCTGCACACGGCTCCAGCTCTATGTGGGGTCAGACACAAACAGCATTTGTCCAGAAACAAGTGTATTGGACCCTGTACGGGGGCCTGGCCAGGGCCCAACAGGAGCCTTCAGCCTCAGGAGCTCCCTGCCAGCACGGAGCAACCTTCAATAAACGGCTTTGAGGGAAGCGAGGCTGGTGCCTGGCTTTGTGGTGACTGGTCCATGGTGGTGCTGCCTCCCCCAGTACTCCTGGCTTGCAGGGTGACACAGGTGTCCTCCCTTCTGCTGGTGTGGACGTGGGGGGCACACACACCTCCCACGCGGGGCACAGCTACAGGCTGGGTGTAGCCAAACCCTCAGTGTGGGCAGTGGGAGAGGAAGCTCCTGCGTGGGGCTGAGGCTGCCCTCACTCCCAGCCTCTCGCCCTGCCAGGGTGGACATGCCCTGTCCTTCTGCAGCACATTGTCCTGGTGCCTGTCACACTGTGGCACAGCTCTTCAGTGGTGGCTCAGATCTGGCTGAGAGGAGGGAGGTTCAGAGTTGCCAGGGCGCTGTGGAACACGTCCCTCACTGCTCCCAGCAGCCGGAGGCGGGCAAACATCTGGTCAAAGAGGTGAGGGAACGGCTCCTGTGGGGAGAAAGATGGCAACTTCAGGCTGGTGGACACGTTGCCCTTCCCTGGGCTGGCCTCAGAAGCACTGCTGCTTCTACACCCTGTGTATGCATCCTTCAGCCTGCATCATGCTGCTGGCACCCCAGAGCCTGTTCCCCACATGGCTGCCCCACAACTGCAGGGCCACAAGCCTGCAGGCCTGGGACATCTGACTCACCCCCAGGACGTGGACCCGGTTGTAGTAGGAGCTGAAATCCATGCTGAGCTGGATCAGGAACTTGCACACCTGCTGACACAGTGGGGTCTAGCTGGTCTTGGGCCCTTCCCCACCCCAAGCACAGCAGAAGCAGCCCCAGGGGTGTCACAGTCCCTTCCCTCAGCACCACCCCTGTGTTGCTCACCGGTGGGCAGCACCCTGCAGCCACACAGCTTTGTCCTGGGCTGGGACTGTCGGGCCACCACCCATGGATGCTGTGGCACATGGCACTTACTGTCTCTGTGTTGGCTGTGATCCGGATCCCCTTGGTGGGTGCAGGCAGCTGTGCTGCCTGCTGCAGGACTTCAGGGAAGGGCAGGAGATAGTTGAAGAGCAGGAGCCATTCGCCCTGTGAAAGGATTACATGTGTTGGAGCGGGACAGATCCTCCTGGGCCAGCAGCATCCATCCCTGGAGCTGAAGGCACACAGGTCCTCGCATTCCTCTTCTTGGCACTTGCCTCTTCCCGGAGGGAGGAGAAGTTCAGTTCTGACACTGGTGGCAGAGGTGGGTACGTGCCTAGAAAGGAGGTGGGAGGCTGTTGTTGTGCCCAGAGAAGCCCCTGTGGCTCCAGGTGTCAGGAGCAGCCCAGGAGTGGCCGTCAGAGGAGGTTTGTGTGGCTGGAATCCACAGCCCGCTGGTACGTGTCGAAGAGCGTGGCCAGCCGAGCACAGTTGTACATTACGAAGGTGCCGCTCTTGGTTCCCTTTGTGGAGATGCTGCTGTCCTCCAGATCCAGGGTGATCTGAGGGCAGGGAGAAGCTGCAGTCCAGGCTCAGCGCAGAGCCGCTCCACTATTCCCACGGCTTGCCTGCCCTGGCTCTGCAAAAACCACTGTCCTACCTGACTCCGGTGAGCAGTGCTCAGCATCTCAAACCTGATGGCAGCCACCGTGAGGGTATCAATCACCTCAGTCCAGGCCTCGTCTGTGGAGAACGCAGGTGGCATCATGCGCAGGTGGCATCACGCACAGCTCGCTCCACTCCCCTCTACTGTCTCCCCCTGCGCCCAGGCAGGAACCCACCCTGGGGCCAAGGGGCTCTGGTGGAAGCTGGGGACCACCACACTTCCCCAGCCCCGGTCCCCTCTGCAGCTGCTACTCTGTGCCAGTGGCCCATGTGGCAGTTTAGAAGCCTTCCCCCAGGCAAGCTCAGCACCTGGCTCCATCACGGAGGGGAGAGGGAGCACCATGCAGGACAGAGCCCCACTGGCTGCAGACTCAGAGATGAGGGGATAGACTCGAGGGAGCAGCGGGGATGGAGCAGCACCCACACGTGGAGCCACAGAGCAAACCCTCACCCTGCGCCAGCTCCCCATACTTCATCACTGAGGCTTCGTGCATCTGGCGCTTTCGGAGCCTGCGAGGAACACAAGACACAGTCACCACCCCTGGGCTGAGCTGACCCGACCCCAGAGAGTGCCCCAGGGCTCCTGAGGCCAGAGAACAGCAGAATGGAGGGACTGCACAGAACACTGTGTGCCACCAGCTTGCCCAGCACTGCAGCATGGCTGGCTGGGTGCCTGCAAGGCTGGGCAGAGCACAGGGACACTTGGCAGATGAGCAGACAGCAGGCACCTTGCTACACACCAACTTACTGGAAGTACTGGTCTGCCCCGATGGGTGATGAGGGGTTTGTCACCTTCACTGGCCCACAGACAAGGTGTTTCTGAAAGAGAGAGGAGAAGCCAGAGCTGAGATCAAAGACTCAGAAGCTCCAATGAAACACAGTGCAGGAGAACTGGGCTAAAACCAGCCCGGTCTCCCCACAGTCTTCTCCTGCCCATCCTTCTTTAGTGCTGAAATCCCAAGGGCAGGGAGGCTGCTGCACCACCTGGGCAAGAATGTGGAGGGGCCACCAAGGGAAGGGGAAGCCTCACAGGGGGTCAGTGCTGGGCCTCAGCATTCGCTGCAGGGATTGAAGGAGGCTGGCTGAGCACAAGGATGCTGGGGGCCACAGTGAGGAGGGTGGGAGGTTCCTCACCTGCAAAGCTGTGTGAGCTCCTGGATCCAAAATCCTCCAGAGCAGATCCAGCTGCTGCTGCTGGAATTCCTCCTCGCAGTTCACCACGTGCACAATGCTGCAGCAGCTCCCCTGGCCTCCAGCCTGCAGCAGAGCACAGCAGGAAGCTCAAATACCATCGCGTGACAAAAGGGAACAATGTCTAGAAATCGAGAGGCAGGCAGCACGGCAGGGTTACTCACTGTGCACTGCAGAACAGCTTGCTGCAGCTCAGCCAGGGACCGCAGCTTCCCCTCCGTCACTGAAAGAAGGAAGGGGACATGAGGACACAAGGATTTGCCATCCCACCCCTACCATCCTGTCTGCATCTCTGGCTCAAACCAGACTGAAGGGGAATAAGAGTCCAGTACCTGAAGGGGGAAACAAGAAAGCTGGGGAGGGAGTTTTTACAAGGGCAGGTAGTGATAGGAGAGGGAGTAACAGCTTTAAACTGGAAGAGGGGAGGTTTAGATGAGATATTAGGAAGAAATTCTTTCCCGTGAGGGTGGTCAGACACTGGCCCAGGTTGCCCAGAGAAGCTGTGGCTGCTCCTCCCTGGAAGTGTTCAAGGCCAGGCTGGATGAGGCTTTGAGCAACCTGGTCTAGTGGAAGGTGTCCCTGCTGCTGGCAGGGGGGTTGGGACTGGATGATCTTTAAGGTCCCTTCCAACCCAAACCATTCTGTGATTCTATGAAGAGGAGAAGGCAATTTGGATTTAAAACCCCCTTATTTTCTGTTAAAACAATTGGAAAAAAAACCAGAAAGGGGCCTGTTTGCAGCTGTTTGCCCCCTGCTGTCACACCAGAGCTGCTGTATGTAATAGGTAGTAAACTGTTTGTTC